GTGTGTGTGTGTGTGTGTGTGTGTGTGTGTGTGTGTGTGTGCATTGTCAGATACCTAACTAGGTGTTTGACTACATCTGGACAACGGATTGAAGGGGAGGCTCTCTCCCCAGCTCCACTTCCCTTCCCCTTGTAGAGCTGCTGCAGACCCAGGTTCTATGGGGAATTCCTCTGGAGTCTGTAGCTTCTGTCACCCGCCACATTTCACAGTTGTGTGGAGGATGATTCTTAGAATGTTCACTGGATTACTACCCTTTGAGATCTTCGTATATGCCTAAAGTGTGTAGCATTTCATACTCATGGACATCAATTAGCCCCCTCCTTCCATCTCTGTAGGACACACTGTATATAAATAATTTTGTACACAAGGACCACCAAATATTATAGTGAGATATTTGGCCACACGTGGACCATGGATTGATGGGACCACGCTTCCCTTGCCCCTCTTAGGGTGGTGGTGGGCCCAGGTTAGAGAATCCCATGCCTGGAGGGGCAGGTGTGGCTCACCCATCTTTCAGCACATAGCTCATCTTCCAGTAGAAGAAACCCATCTCCATGTTAAAGCTCAGAAGCTATCACAGTGCCTGTACCCTGGAGCCAGTTTTCCTAGAGGAAGACTGGCATACCAGACCATGAACAGCTGCTTCTCTTCCACACAGAGATGTGACCCCTGGTGGGCACCAGCATTATGGAAGCCACTGCCTTCAGAATAACTGCCACAAGACATTTCTGGTGTACAAGCTTGGACCTGGTGTGACAGCGTCGGTATGCTCAGACCTCCGGTTAGAGCCCATCAGAGTGTTTGAGCGTACCTCCCTTCTCATGGCTGAGACTGACTCTGCCCTCTCCGAAATGCTTTGCAGGAGACAGGAAGCCTAAGAATTCCGGTCTGAGAGAAGTTTACATGTGTTTTAGAGTTGGGATGATAGACCGAGTGCCTTTTCAAAAAATAGAGACTGAGTTTGCTGACTTCACAGTTCCCATGCCCCCGCTGCTCGCTCCATTCTCACACCCAAAGGGAGGGGATGAAAACTCTCTTAAGTAGCAGGCTGATCCCACTGGGTAAACCGCAGAGCAGTCGCTTGGAACCAACTGACCAGAGAAAAGTACCCGGAACCTCGATGTTCATGGTCCCCAATTCTAGATCCGACTGTACTTATACTGTGGCTCAAGATCCTTACAAAGTGAAAGGACTGAGAATGTAATATTTAAATTAATTTAATGGCAGAACTCAATTCTGCTCACTCCTCTTAATCTCTCTCTCATTAGCTTAACAACAATGACCAAACAATCAGTAGATAGGTGAAGGGCAGGTTACAAATTTTAAGTCTATATCCTGGGCACTGATCTGGAAACAGCACATGAATCAGAGGTTAAGCTTATTTCAGACACATTGTTGCCTTGGAAAGGGTGAAGGAGAAGGCTTGGAGTCATGGGTGGAAAAGAGGGAAGTACTAACCAGGCTTGGTTGGCTGTGTCTTGTGGCAGTCATTTGGAGCACGTTGGCTCAGCTAGTTGGTATGGTGAAGGGGTACCATACTAACAGATTTGGAGGCTAAATCCCAATCCCGTTACCCACACTTAGCAGGTGTACGATCATGGGCAATTCATTTAATTGCCTGACAATTATACATTATATGGGGGATACGCACCGGAAATGGAGTCAAGTGACCTGAACACTTGACTCTACACTTTCTTAGCTGGGTGACTTTGGGGAAACCACTTG